ATTTTTTGCTTAAATTTTTTTCTACCTCTTGGAAACATCCACTCTACTGAGTAGAGGTAAGGTGTTCTTTACCCAATGTATAATGTCTTGTGGCACCTTTTCCACCTTGTAATTCACTTCTTTTGCATCGTTTTGTTACTAGGTAATCTGAACATGGTTATGGCACTTGCTGGGAATAAAGCTGACCTGTTAGAAGCAAGAAAGGTGGCAACAGAGGCAAGTGCTGATACTCATTTAGACCATATAAACTTTGACATGATTTATTTATTGAGACAACCGAGAATCATTATTTCTAACGTAGTTTGCCTTTTGTTGCAGGAAGCACAACAATATGCCAGGGAAAATGACCTTTTCTTCATCGAGACATCTGCAAGAACTGCAACCAATGTCAATGACATTTTCTATGAGATAGGTAATGCTTTCTTTATAAGATATCTTGTATAATTTTTTTCGATACCAATATCAATATTTAAAAAAATGGGAAAACAAAACTACAATTTACAAGTTTCCTTTTTCACAAATAAATAAATAATTTGATCACTCCCCCCCCTCCACCCCACTCCCTTTGCCGCTAAGGGTGTAAATGGATAACCGAAAATTCGATTACCGTCCGCATCCGTATCCGTTTATACGGAAAATATTCGCATCCGTTAAAAGCGGTTATTATCCGTATCCGATTAATGATATCCGATTGGTAAACGGATACAGATCTGGTAATCATACATCCGATCCGTTTATAATCCGCTTCGCATAGACATCCGTTTAAGTAACCGTTTATCCGTATATTCGATCCGTTATATATAATTTTTCCTATTTTTTATTATTATATTTTTTTTCTATTGAGATCTCAAAGTATAAGACATTTTTATATGTAAAATATATGTGTAGACACATAAAAATATGTGTAGATACATAAAAATATGTGTGTGTGTATTGTGTATATCTTTTTACCATATGGAGTTGTCGTAGAATATTATAAATTATAAAAATAAGAAAAAATTACTCCGTAACAAATGACAACTGAATAAATAACATGTTGACTTTAATTTAATTAGAAATTAAAGTATTTTTCAATTTAACTTAAAAAATTGGAAACGAATACGGATATATCTGATATCCGACCGATATCCGACGGAGGCGGATGCGGTTTTGATTTTTAGTATCCGTCAAGATCCGTATCCGAATTTGATATCCGATAAAAATAAACGGATTCGGATCTAGTAATGGCACATCCGATCCGATTAATATCCGTTTACACCCCTATAATTGCAAGGTCTCTCCAACCCTTGACACTTTTACTAGGAAAGAGTGGCAAAGCAGAGTCTAACCCTAACAAACTAAAGTCAAAACTGAACGGTTATATCCACAACTTTTTTTACATGCAGCCAAGAGATTGCCTCGACTGCAACCTGCAGCAAATCCGGCGGGCATGGTTCTCATGGACAGATCGACTGCTGCTCAAAGAAATGCCACATCCGCTGCCTCCTCTTGCTGCACTTAACCCTGCCTCTATATGCACCGCGGAGAAAGAAAAAAATTGCACGCCGATCCTGTATTTATTGTTTCACTATATATTATTATTATTATTATTATTATTATTATATCAATGTCAATTATTTGTGTATGTGCCATCATCTGTCACTCACCCTACACAAGAATTTACTATCAAGAATCTTTCATTTGCTTTTCTTGAATTCCGAGTGCCCACATTCACGATCTCGTTCTGTTTTTCTTTCTCATCATATTTCGTGGTTCAAGTTCGGGTTTTTGCGCCTAACCGCATTAGCCCTTGCAATTGCATCTTTTTCAGATTAACATTTGGTTTCCCCGTGAAGTGTTTGTGAGTTTTATATACATGACATTGTCTTTGATTTAGGGGTGTGGTTCAATGAGATGAGAAAGAATAGGCAAATCCATATAAAATGGAGATTTTAAAAGAGGTTTAATTGTATATTGACTTTAGTTGGTCTTATTTGCAATGTTTTAAAATGGAGAGATGCTTTTTTTTTTTGAAGGCTCTTAGAGTATCTTTCTTTGATTTGATTCAATTTTATCTCATTTTAATAATGTTTGATCTGTTTTGATCTGATTTTAGTTATATTGTAAGTTGTTTTTTATTTGCTTTAATTAGATTTCTATAAGAATAAGTAATAATGCGGATTCCAATATAACAAACGGATAAGTAGTTACTCCTTTTTCAAAAATAGATTTACTTCTTCACTGCTTTAAATATCAGGTTAAAAAGTCAATTGAAAAAGAGAGATGTTAGTCACAAACACAAGGTTAGAAAAATGCACAACTTTACTATTTTTGCAACTCACTACGGGAACAAAATGATTTTAAATAATTAAAAAATAGAAATTTAAATACATAAATAACAAGTTTGAGCATTTTGTGACTATAGCAATATTTACGACTTGTTCGTTTCATTCTACTTGTGCATACAAGACCATCCAGATTGATGAAATTAGGCCTTGGACTACTCAATTTTGACAACAGCTTCAACACTCAATTTTAGCTTTCTAAAAGAATATTTAATAGTAACGTTTAAATTTACTATTTTTAAATACATCAATATAGTTAAAAAAATTATTTAAACAACTAATTGAAAAATAAGTGGAGAGTAAAGACTTGAGAAAGTTATTTCTTTAATTATCGCGATTGCGTGTTGGTTTGCTGTATGACAGGAGCCCTTTATCTGAAAATATAATTCGTTGTTTGTAATTATAAATTTTGAGTTTTATAGGTTGATAATGTATGAACAAATACTAATTTTTAGTAGAGCTATTAGTATTCATAAAAATAAATTTGGAGTTTGAAATAATGTATTTTTTAGACTTGGAAGCTTTAAAATTTTTGTTAGTACTATTACATCTATTTCAACGTATTATTAGTTGAATTTATAATTAAAAGAAACCTTTTGAATAGCGACCTCTTCTTTTGACAACAATTACAACAACAACAACCCAGTTGAATCCCACTACAGTAGGGTCTGGGGAGGGTGTGTGTACGCAGACTTTGCCCCTACTCGGAAGTAGAGAGACTGTTTCCAAGAGACCCCCGGCTCCAACTGCACAAAAAATATGATAAAAATCATAATATAACACAGATAAAACATCAAGTACAATGGAAAGAAAGTCCATTGTTGTTATAATATGACAACAACACTAATTGGAGCACATACGATGATATTTCATTCGTAAAGCTGATGGTTCCTACTTCTCCTAAACTCCCCACCCAACCCTTCCCATCATTTAAATTTACTACGGAGTATTAAAGAAACTTTTTAAATAGCAACCCCTTCTTTTGACAACAACTATTATTGTCATAATATGACAACAACTCTAATTGGATCACCTAATGTGTTCTATTCATATAACGGATATTTCTTATTTTCCCCTAAACTCTCTATCTAACCCGCGGCCTCTTGGATTGCCAATTTGGCAACTAATGACCTTAGCTAACATAAGCTACCAAATCAGCGACCCAAGGAGGGAGGAGCCCCTGGTTGGATGGGGTTTAAGCTATCAATCTTAGAACAACTCCAATGGAGAAGGCAAATGAGGAAGCGTACCTCATAACATCCAAATTTACCTTCTCTTTTCTTATTTTTACACTCGAAAGGAGAAGTCAATGAAGTGGTAAAATACCTTATTTCAATATAGAGAGGTTTCAATACCTTCTCAAAATTAAAAAGTTAAAAGAAAAAAAGGAGAGAAATGCAATATACCTTCTAAATTTGCCTTTCTTTTTCTTATATTTTGCATTTCAATAGTAAAGGTAAATGGAAAGACAAGAATTTTTCTAATTTGAAGAGATCAATACCATTTTAAATTTGTCATTTTATATTTACCTTTCACTCATTAAAGTTGATCACTTTTGAGAAAGATAAAAACCACCTTTTGAGGAGGTAAATGAAGAAAATATCTCTTCATTTTGACTTTTTTCATTGAAGTTGCTCTAATGAAGCACATGATGTTATAGTTAGGGGTGGACACGGTACGGTTCCGGGACGGTTCCGGTTCCGGTACCGCCACCCCTTGGTACCGGTACCGGTACCGGACCGGCCGGTACCGGTTCCGGTACTGCCGGTTCCGGTACCGTTTCCGGTACCGTTTCGGCCACCCCTAATTTTGTTTTTTTTTGCTTTTTTATTATATTTTTAAAATGTAAAATTGTAAATGTGTAATTGTTAAAGGAAATGATGAAATAAAAAAATCTAAAAATGAAATTGATAAAGGAAAGAATGAAATAAAAAAATAAAAATAAAAAAAATTAATAACGGTACCAGAACCGGAACCGGAACCGGAACCGCCGGTGCCGGTACCGAAAAATGGGCACCGGAACCGGTACCAGATTGGGCAGTACCGGTACCGGTTCCCGGAACCGGTGGACCGTACCGGCCGATGGTAACGGTACCGGAACCGGCGGTACCGTTTCCGGTACCGGTACTGTACCGGTACCGTGTCCACCCCTAGTTATAGTATGACATTAGGATTTGTTGTAATAAAAAGTAAAACTAAGGGGCTGTTTAGCAACTTCTGAATAGGTAAGTGCTGAACCAGTAAGAGGACTGAACCATTAAGTGTTGAACCAATAAGAGTTAAAAGCTAGTATATTGTTTAACTATTCAGAGGCAAATGTCTGATCAATTCAGATAAGAAGTCTTAACCATTCAGACTCTGTATAATATTTAACCATTCAGAAGCAAATCTCTTAACCATTCAGACATCTGAACCATTAAGAGGCTGAAACAAACAGTCTACACCTTTAAGTACTAAACCATTCAGACATCTGAACCATTAAGAGGCTGAAAAAAACAGTCTACACCTTCAAGTACTGAATCATTCAGACATCTGAACCATTAAGAATATGCAAGAGCCCAAACTAATAACTAAGATACTCTAGCTTTTAAAATTATCCGAAACTCCATTTCTAATTCTCCAGTTTTTGTGGCGATGCTCCTCTGTGCGAATAATGTAATGTCTAAAAACATCCACAAACCACATTTCCAGCCATTTCCTCGAACATGGAAATGTAAAAGACCCATCCGGCATTTCGTCAAACACTTTGCGCTCAATATCATTCATCCATCTCCTCGTCTAAGATGAAATCGCGCCCGATCTCAACACAGCCCAACCTCAGTTTGCGGCGTTGATTTCGGAAATGAATTCCCAGACTCTTCTGGCTTTTGCGCCGCTGAGAATTGGATGCTCCGGGAGAAGCTCCGAACCCGACCCGGCCCACAGAGTCTCCGTCACCAAATCAACGAGTAAGAAGATTTCAATATCCACGAGAAGAGATGCGCAATCTGCACTCTTTGATTACTTGCACTGCACCAGAGGGCTTAGTTTCGTCGATTCCGAGCAAATCAGCAAAAACTCGCCCCGGTTTCTAGAGCAATTGCTGTCAAAGCTGAAACATGAAGGAGATGTGGTGAGGGCTTTAACCCGTTTCTTCAGGTACTACCCCTTTAATGAATTTGAGCCTTTTCTTGAGAGTTTGGGTTTAAGCCGAAAGGATCTTGCTTCTGCACTTCCAAGAAACTTGATGTTCTTGAGCGATGATGCCAACTTGCTTGACAACTATCATGTTCTGTGTAATTATGGGATCCCCAATTCTAAGATTGGGAAAATGTACAAGGAAGCTTCTGAGATATTCAGGTATGGAGATGGAGTGTTGAACATGAAGTTAAGGAATTTTGAGAAGTTGGGCTTGTTTCAATCCAGAGTCATAGACCTGGTGATTCGATATCCGTATCTTTTGCTCCCCGGGATGGACAACGATTTCGTTGCGGTTCTTGAGAAATTGAGAGAGTTAGGGCTTGGAAGTGATTGGATAGATACTCACATCTCTAGCAAACATTCCTGCAACTGGAGTAGAGTACTTGACACAATGTGTTTTCTTCGCGAAATTAGCGATGGCAATGATCAGATGATGGCTCTGATTGAGGCAAATCCGGGCTTGGTATTCGAAGGGAAGCGTGCTTACTTGATGGTTACCCAATTAGTGAAATTGGGTCTTAGTAGATACGCAATTTATGCTGTGTTCAAAGAATGCCCAAAGATCCTGTCTTTTAAGCAGGCCAATCGCATATGGATAGCCATACAGTTTCTGCTCAAGATTGGAATGGATAGAAAGAGCATTGCAACATTTGTATCTACTCACATACAACTCATAGCTTCTTATTCTCTGAAAAAACCAAAGTTTGTCTCGAAGAATTTGTCTTCGAGCATACTGGAAGACCCTATGAACCTTTTCAGACTGGCGTTAGAGGAAGAAGCCGAATTCTCGACACAGCAAAATAAACTTGTGAACTATGCGAAGAAAAAAGAATTCTTCTTCAGCTTAGGCTACGCGGAGAGTTCTGATGAGATGAAAAGGCTGTTTACAGTGGTGGAGGCTAGAGGAGACCAGTTACAGGACCGGTTTAATTGCCTTGTGGAAGCCGGTTTGGACCGCAATGATGTAATAAAAATGTTCAGAAGGGCTCCAAGAATACTGAACAACTCAAAGGAAGACATTGAGAAGAAGATTGAGATTCTGAGAAATCACTCGGGTTATCCCGTGAAGACACTTGTGAGTTTTCCGACATATCTCACCTATAGTAATCACAGAATAAGTTGTAGATTTTCAATGTACGATTGGGCAAAGGGAAAGGGATCGGTGAATCCCACGTTATCGTTAAGCACCGTAATTGCTGGTACAGACGCGCGCTTTGTAAAATATGTTGTTAATGGACACCCAGATGGTCCTGCCAAGTGGGAGAGTTTGAAAAAATCTATTCTTTCAAGCTAATAATAAGAAAGACCATTCTTTTGAATTTTTGCTCTTGCAGCTTCAGCTTTGGTTTGCAGTGTCTGTTTTTGAGTTAATTTGATGTTGCCTGCTTTTCAAAAATTAAAACAAAAGTGAAAATGTGTGAGGGTGAAGGGTAGTGTTTTTTCTTGTGAAATTTGCACTAAATAGTATTAAAACATTACTAAAACATATGTTATTTCTGAATGTATTACTTAAACCTTTTTATTTCTAAGTAGTACTTGAATAATGTCTAGTGGCAGGAATAATGTCCAGTAATGGTAGACATTTAGTTTGAACAATATCCTGTGGCGTTGGACATTTTTTGAACAATGACTAGTGGACATTAAAGTACTATATTGGGAAATAAAAATAGAATCTTCGACTTCAATGAGTCCACAAATCCTATAAAGGCACTACAAATCTTAATGGTGGATAAATGGATTGTGGAACCGTGGATTGAAACTGAACCCGCCTATTTCTTTGAGTTTATTAAAATTATTACTAGATTCGTGGTTGAGTGTGTCTAGCTTTAACTTTTTGCAATCAAAATTAACAATTTTTTACTATTAATTAAATAAAATTGATAACAGATATAGATACAAAAAAAAGTTTTTTTAGATTAATTTTATAAAATATCTTCAAAATGTTGTTTTATCTAATTCATATATCATACAATATTTTTTTAAGTTATATATCAAATGTTACATTTTTTTGACTGTAAAGAGTCAACATTGAAAAAGTATTCAGGGACGGATGAAGTAAAATAGTATAGTACTACATAATAAATAGAGTATAGTAGCCTTCAAAAAATAGAGTACTAATATTGATGGATTAGAGCACTAGAAATACGTATGAAGCCCCGAGGCTTCAAAACGGGGTTTCAAACTTTCTCTCTCTGCCACGTCAGCTTTAACTTACACCAAAAATTCACTGGAAATGGTTTTGAAGCTCCGGGGCTTCAAACTGGGGCTTCAAACCTTCATTTTTTACATTTTTAAATATACATCTTCTAAATTTAAATTAATAAATTTAAATTAATTTATTATTTAAATTAATCGCAATGAGAATAGTGCATTAAAAAAATTACATTCATTAAAAAAATCTTACATTCATTAAAAAAATATTACATAAAAAAACAACAGTACAAAGAAATCACTAATTATTCGAACGACTAAAGATATGCTCGATCAAATCCGCCGTTAGTGCATTGTGAATCTCTCGGCTTTGAATTTCTTGGCGGTTGCGTCGTTTCTTTTCTTCGGTGATTTCTTCGTACATAGGCACCTCCTCGTCCGGGTTGTATTGACAAATCGCAGTCCCGTTATCCTCTATGATCATATTATGAAGAATAATACATGCGTACATGATATTCTTCATTTTTGTTTGAGAATAACATTTTGACGTACGATCTAGAATGTGCCATTTACTCTTCAAGACCCCAAAGGCTCGTTCAATATCTTTTCTCGCCGCCTATTGAGCTTTTTCGTAGGTATGGCGTTTAAGACCCATTGGTTTGGAGAGGGATTTGACAATCGTGGAATAATCTGGATATATTCCATCGGCCAAATAATATCCACGCTTGTAAAGCGTCCCTCTAAGCTCAAAAGAGGAGTCCGGTGCGGTCTCATTAACCCAATCGTCAAAAACAGGCGATTGATCGAGAACGTTGATGTCGTTGTTCGAGTCCACGACACCGAAAAAAGCATGCCAAATTCACAAGTCATTCGAAGCAACAGCTTCGAGCATGATAGTAGGCTTGGGATGATCTCCCCAGGAGAATTGACCGTGCCACGCAGTGGGACAATTTTTCCATTCCCAATGCGTGCAATCAATACTCCCAAGCATGCCGACAAAGCCGTGTTTAGCGGCATGCCTTGCCTGCAACTGCTGGATGTCCCTCACTGTAGGCTTGCGTAAATATCTTTTATGATAAATTTGAATAATAGCTTTTGAAAATTTATAAATACAGGACCTGATGCTCCGAGCCGACATCTTCAAGTATTCGTCGAACATATCAGATGTCGTCCCGTACGCCAACTGACGGAGCGCGACAGTGCACTTCTGGACGCTACTAAACCCGCGTCGGCCTCTCGCATCAAACCGTTGGGTGAACCAAGGAACCTTGCGTTCAACATCGGTGAGTATGCATAAAAAGAGAGGATGACTCATCCGAAAACGATTACTAAAATCCTCCGGTGTATAAACACACGGATTATTAAAGTAGTCGTTTAGAAGTGAAGCGTGGGCGGCCGCTCGATCCCGGTTTAAACGTTGTCGTCGGGTCCGTCATCGGGAGGATTCGGCTTCTTCTTGGCCATCTTCCCACCATTGAATACAATTCGTCGCGAAACAACGAAAAAAGAAAGCTCTTTTTTCATCGTCGGAAGATGAACCCATTTTTAAAATATATTTTATAAATATTTATAATAAATATTAAATATTTTAGAGAGAATATAAAGAGAGATGTGTGAGAGAATGATTCTTTTAGGGGAATTTATAGGTTTTTTTTTTAAATTTTGATTTTTTTTAATTTGGGGGGGGGGGGGGACGGCTAAATTAGCCGTTGGGGGAGGGATGACGAAGGGCTGAGCCGCGTCAAACGAATGACGCACATGCGATGACGCCAGGTAACTCCGCCGGGGGCGGTGTTTAGCGCCCCCGGGCGTTACATGTATACCCAGTGCCCTTAGTGTAAATCACCCAACACAATATAATTTAGTAGTCAAAATTGGACAAACACACCGAGACAAAGGTAGTATTTGATAGAATAAAATCCTTGTCACATCATATTTTATAATCTCTCGGTCCTAATTTAAATTATTTATTTACTATTCTAATGATCAAATTTTAATAACTTTTTTAACTCATTTTCGTTACTCAAATGCTAAATTAATATATTAATATCACATCTTGTTCTGTAGATCTATGGATATACTCCAATTTTATTTTGGAATAGTTTTTAAATATATTAGTTTTATTTTTTAATTTTACCATAATTTTCATATAAACTAATTTCAAAATAACTTAGTCAAACATCATAAATTATAACATGTAATTTAAAATGAGACAAAGAGATAGAACATTTAATGTAGTTTTAAAATAAGTAATTTGCATCTTTTATTTTTATGTCAATTTGTAAATAAAATGATTTTTTTTAAAAAAAATGAGATTTTGCACATTGTTCGGAATGAGTCAAGTTTTTTGAGGGTGATAGAATATTGTTTAGTTAAAGAGTATTAAAAATATACAACAACCATAACCCAATAGAATCTCATAAAAATGGGATGAGAAATTCCTCGTCTAGAAAATTAATCCCCAAATCTGGGTGAGAGCTTTGTGTCACAGAAACCTTAAAATTTGTTAGTCATCAGAGTATTTTGGATAATTTGAGGTATTTATGGACCATATGCAAAATTATAACAAAAGTGATACGAGTTAGGTAGTGTGCTGAACACATTTCTTAACAATATTACTCCCTCCCTCTTAAAACTTTCTTTCTAATTCGATTTATGAGATTTGATTGAAATTATTTTCAATATAATTTTTTTGATTATAGGTGTAAAACTAAAAATTTTTATATATTTAAATACAACATCAAAAGTTTTACAAAACAAAATGTGACATTACTATATTATATTATCAACGGTGGGGTTCTAGTGCCACTGGAGTATGGTGCCACTGGCATTTTGGAGCACTTCCAGTGCTCCGTTCGCAAAATTGGTGGTTCCTACCCCCCTAACCCACCCCCTAAACCCCCCACCCTACCCCCGCCCCTGCACCCTCAACCCCGCCGTAAGCCCCCCACAATTTGTGGCTATTATGTGTTCATAATAGCATCATAATAGCCACTCATTTTGTGGGGGGCTTACGGCAGGGTTGGGGTGGGGGTACAAGGGTGGGGGTAAGGTGGGGGGTTTAGGGGGTGGGTTAGGGAGGGTAGGAATCGTCAATTTTGCGAACGGAGCACCGGAAGTGTTCCAAAATGCCAGTAGCACCGGAGTGGCACCGTACTCCAGTGGCACTAGAACCCCACCGTATTATCAAATAACTAATGAAAATAGGTAAAATGAATAATTAAACTTTTACTATGTGAAAAATTATTGGGACGAAAATTTTAAGACGGAGAGAGTATGACTATAGGAACTTAAGAGTAGGACTTCGAGGACAACACTCTAGTTAGCAGAGTTCAAGGCGGGGTAGCCTCTAGTGGGGTCCAAGGGCTAGAGCCACTTGTTCGGGTCGAGGTGTTCATTATCCGGTCCAAACATAAACCAATCAAAATCAAGTCAAGACCGATCCAGATCGGTTCCTTTTTAGTCCAGTCTTCAAACCTCCAATTTTCCTTATTCGGTTTACAGTCCTATCCGGACTGGCGAATCAGTCAACATTTTTTAAATAAAATCTTCTTTTAATTACTTTTATAATATAGTTCTAAAGTTTTCTGTTATATTTAATTTTGAATTAACTTTAAAATAAATAATTTTTCAATATAACACTTTTTTTTGCATCATAACTTATTTTTAGAACAGTCTAAATATTTTTGAGCCATTTGTTTCAATCACATGTAGAGTAAAGAGCATAAAAAGAACTTTGAAAAGTTCTCAATAAATTAAATCTATTAAATTTATTTGTATACTACGGAGTAAAATATATTGAGTAATTTTTATTTAATTGACGTTCAAAATTTATAAAGTTTGACTCGAAAAAATTAAATTGGATTAAGACACGGAGACAGAAATAGTATATACTCCCTCCGTCCTATAATGATCTTCCCAGAGCATCATTCCAACTTCACGGGAATTTATATTTATTTGTGTTTTTTCATGGCCTATATGATAAAATAAAATATTCTTGTCACCACTTTTTTGTTGAACTTTTGATGTAGTTTTTAAATATGTATGTTTTATTTTTTATTTCTATACCAATATTTAAATAAAATAGATTGAAAAAACTTGAGATTTTTCTTCATTTTGCGAACCGGGAAGATCATTATAGGACGGAGGGAGTAATACATCTTTCAAAAGGAAACATTTTGAAAAACATTACTTCATTAATTAAACTTTATTTGTTTTTTAACCGGTACTAAAATAATCTTCCGTACTCCATATTTTTTTTAAATGCTCATAATATTTTTTTTGTTTTTTCCCAACCAAACTTCAATCACACGATTTTCAATATTTTTTGTAAAGCTAACGAGTCACCAAAAGAGAAACAATGAAAGAAGTTATTTTAAAAAAGGTAGGATTAAAATTCATAAAGATGAATGAATTGTTTCTGTGAAAGCAAAATACTTAATAGCTAATGAATTAAAGTATGTGTTCCAGAGAGAGCGAGTGCATAGTCCATTGTGGTGGGTTATCATATTCATGAATTTTTATCTGAGATAAATAGGGAGTGCTATATTCAGGGATTTCAGGCTACAAAAATGACAACCAGCAATTTGTAACTTAGAAACATAGAATTTAATGCAAATAAAACAGATGAAAGCAACCTTCAATATAACTTAGAAGTTCTCATCCACCTTATATATTGAGATAGACTTGAAAGACTTCAAGACATTTACTTGGGGGTGGGGTGTAGAAACACAATAGGGTCCCATGAAAAGTTTCACTATACAGACACATAAGATTCGCACAAGCATAAACTAGAAGGCTAAGATGTCCAAGCACCAACAATAACAACTTAGTAAATATATATATATATATATATATATATATATATATATATATATATATATATATATATATATATATATATATATATATGCAACCTTACCCGGTCTAAAAACTGTTTCCGCGAATCAGACGAAAAACATAATGTCTTTGAGATCGGGGTGAAGATTATAGAACTCGTGTTGGAATGAAGGGGCAGAAGATGGTGAAGATGACCTGCCATGTTGTCTCTCATTGACCACTTCTTGAAACATGCGTCCTCGGTAGGCAACGAGATCGGCGTAGTAAACGGGCGGAACAAGTGAAACAGCTTTTGCGCACCGGGCAAAAGTGAAACACAAATCGTAAATCAACTTTTGCATATCATTAGAGCTGAAATGATTATCATCCCACAACACGTAATAGTGTGTAGGTTTGCTTGTACCAAGGCCTCCAAAATGACTGCACAAGTAAAAGTCAAAGTCGGTTGGGTGCACAATTATAGTGTCAACAACAGTTCCAGGGGGCACATTGTTGGATGAATTCGGAAGGAAGAGGCGAGTCTGGTGTCTCTTTTGGGCAACGACAAAAGTTATTGGTGGCTCATAGCCTTCAGTATAAATCGCATTCCTCATAGCAATAAGCTCCTCATTGAGCACGATTTCAAACTGACCATCGCTCACACCATCACGGAAGACCACGATCCTCATCGGCCTCACACCATTCGTCTTAGCATAAGCATTGACCAAATCAGAACACAAGCTCCCAAAATTAAGGATTGTTTCTTTCCGGTGCTTCTGTGGGCAAACCCTAGCAGCATAGCGATTTGCAGCAGGCCAGTTGACCGTGCCCACAACTGCTGCAATGGATGGACACGTGACATTGCGTGCAGCAGGATGGTTGACATCAGCGCCAATGAACATGACATGTTCATGACCCTGAAAACGTGGAAGCCTCCCACCAAGTTCAAAGTTGCTACCCCCAAGCTTTGCATTTATCTTTATGCAAAGGTTTGCAAGATCTTGGTCACGCCCTCTGTTGAATGTACCAGATAAGCAACATTGCGTCACAACCCCAATTTTAGTTTCTGAAACCCACTTCAAATACTTGTAACCATTATCCTTGCCCGGCATAACACAAACCATGATTTGCAATTTTGCCTGTGTTTTCTTTTTAGCTTCCTCAACGACACGTTTTAGGAGACTTTCAACCCTACTAACATTGGATAAGTCATTCATGTTAGTATTATGCCAGATGATTGGATCCTCCATGCACATTCCCATGCTTCTTGACCGCCTTTTCAAGTTTTCAACAAAATCATTGGACCGCAGCCTATTGCGACGGTCATAAGTGGTGAAATCAATCAAAGCCCATCGTTCAACTGCAGCGCCCGCAACAACAGATTTCCCGACAAGATTCCACTGGCATTTATCGTTAACTGGAGCCATATTCGAACCTCCTAACTTCACTTGAGGGGGAGGAAGTAAGCGGCCCACAACCCGTGTCATGTCTTCTACAACTCTCATTCCAAAGTTACGACTAACGTCTCTGTCATAAAAATAAGAAGAAAAAAATAGATATATAATATTATGTTAAGGTGTTGATGATGACCATGTCCATGTTAATACGCTCTTAATCAACTTTTGCAGTATAATACTCTCTCCATCACATTATTTCCTTAACTTAATTTCGCAAGCTAGTTAAGAAACAAAATTATGGCGTTATGGTTTATGAAATAATGAACAGTATGAATCACAAAATGATTTTCTTATAAGTAAGCAAAAAGAAATTTTAGGACAAGCCAAAAAAGAAAACAAGAAAAAAAATTATGGGACAAATGTCATAAAAAACAGTGATGCAAATATCATGTTTGTAAGCTGTAACACTGGTATTTGATCATTACTAACAGGTCTGTTTTCTTGAGATGAGGGGATATGTTTGATTTAGAACAAAAAGTTAAGTTCCAAACTCTAAACAAATGTAATACTAGAAATTGAGAAGTTGAAATACACAATAAAAACTGATTTAGTAAAATAATTATGATTAGATTAATAGTGAAGTATTGTTTCCATTGATTAATACTCTTCTAACTTACCGGTAAAAAAACAACTAAAAATACTCCGTATTAAATTGAATTTTTCAAATGTAAGGGAAAAAGAGAGAGTCCATATATGTTGATCCTAGAGAGAACAATGAGATGACAAAATAAATGCTCCATTTCTAGGTGGGCTCTAAAATTCAAACTGTATTCTAAAAATACCTGAAAATTAAAGGAATGCAGAGATATTGAAAGAATTAAGTTAAAATCATACCCACTAGGTCCATCTTCAGCCCTCACCATTTCATTAATCAACTGTCGCCTTTGATCTGGTGGAGGAAGTGATAGCTTTTTAAGGAATATGCCTGTGTTCTTATCCAAATCCTCCTTGGGAAATATTTGCCCTCCAATCAAGATACAAACTTCCATTGGTACATACCGATCTTTTCCAATATCTAAACATGGAATGTTTGTGTGCCTAATCTCCATCCCATATTTCTCACGAAAGTAGTCAGCAAGATAAACATCTCTTGGTGGAGTATTTCCATCAGGATCTGTAACTACAAATTTCAGTTCTCGCGTGCTTTCTTTGGTTAACTTTGATATAATAAACTTTTGTTTGGTTCTACGGTGAGTCACATTCACCTTCAACCCTATCAAAGCATCTTCAACTTGTGGCCTAAAATAATCAAATTCTTCTACCTTAAAATCCGGAATGTACTGTGTGAGGAAGTCTAAGACTGCCAGCGGTTTGCGAAATGCCAAGACTGAAAAGTCAAGGCATAAAGCAAGACCTTGTGACGTGGGCTTTAAGCTCTGTTGGAATCCTCTATAAGCCGCAATACCATACCCAAGATCTTCGGCATTATAGTACTCTTTGGAGAAAAAGTACCTACCCACGCTGATCCTGCTCCTAAGAGGGTTGTCTTTCATTACCAAATCCATAGCCTGAAGAATTTCACGAGGTAGGTGAGACACATTACCAATTAAGTAATCTCTGAGCTTTGAAAGCTTGAGTTCACTAACAAGCTTGATGGTGAACATATATGTGCGAGACTTAGATTCATCCTCAGACAAAACCACCTTGAATTCTCCCGTGGGTAGTGGAACTGCACTGAAAATGTTTTTCTCACCATCAAAAGCAGTCATATCCAAGGGAAATCTCTGCGGGTTATCATCAAACAGTTGTTTCCTGATAATGGAAAGAAGTGATTTTGATATTGACTTCTTCATAGGCTCGTTCTCATTATTGACTTGGTTGACATCCACATCATAGTGCATTATGGTTGTTTGAGGGCCAAAAGTAACTGGGAAATGGTTAACAAGCAGATTAATATTCCTGACAGCAAGAGTTCCTCCCTTATCCGGTCGTTTGATTGGTTGATGCTTGTTTTTGGAAGCTTCTGAAGATGATGGCTTAGCAGCAACCTCAGTAGAGGCTGCAAAACCAGAATGCATTTTTTGATAAAGGACATGTCTACCACTGCTAAATTTTCTGAATATCACATTATAAAGCATAAAACGGGCAGGGAAGTATTTCAATAAAAAGCTAATCCTCATCAAACACCAATTGTATGTCACACAAGGTATAAGTATTGAAGATCATACTCAAACTGTCAAAGTATTTCGTATACGGTATACTTTTCATACCTAACAAAATTTATGTCACACAAATTATAGCTATTGAAGAACATACTCTCTATGTCCCATAAAGCTCTTCTTTCTTTTTTACATTCATCCCCAAAAAGATCTTCACTTTCATTTTTAAACAAAAAAAAGAATGTGTGGTTCACAAAGATTTATCTCCCTCTCATCAAATATTAACCACTTCTTTTTCATTTTAAACACTTTTATTGAACTTCTTGAAAGTCAAACCCAGAAGATCTTTATGGGACGATTACTTTGAATCAAATCTGAGTCATTTGGCTAGATCTACCTACTTGGAGTACTTTACCAATAAGTTTCCATACATATACTCAAAAGAGAATCGAATACTGCATTTCTAGATTAGAAAGGATAAGAAATTGAAAATACCCCACACATAAACCGTCAATATCAGACCATGAATTTGTTATAAAAAAATACGGAGTAGTTACGAGAATGAGCAAGAATTCGTTTCTCAAACATTTATTAAACACCTCTGCATAACATAGCCCCAACATTTAAGAAAATTGGTTTCGTTTACAACCTTACTCTCGCCCAAACTTCACACCAACATCCACAGACATCTAACAGTGATAGTAAGTGAGAAGGGGCAAAGTGAGGTGACGGGCGCCCTATCGAAGGTATACAAAAAAGTGATGGCATAGAAATGCGCTCATTTATGTATGGAGTATGCATTAAAAAATTAAAATTCACCAGAGATGTACAAAAGGGAATAGAATACCGCGGGGAGCTGTAATGGTTTGGGGTTGAGGCTGAGATTGAGGTGGCCGAGGCTGAGACTGAGGTGGCCGAGGCTGAGACTGAGGAGGTTGGGGCTGAGATTGACTGGACGCAGCTCGAGGACCCCAGGCCTTACCGCTCCAAACAGACGGTCTGGGCCCACTACCCTGAGGAGGCTGAAGGGGTGCCCGATATGCACCGTCAGAAGGAGGAGGGCCCTGATCATGAGGCTGCTGAGATTGTGGCCGATGTGCCCCGCCCCAAGGCCGAGGGCCCTGATCATGAGGCTGCTGCGGTTTCCCATACGCCCCACCACTAGGAGCAGGACCCCGATTACCACCACCGCCGCCGTACTGGGGCCGCTGCTGACTTTGGGGCAACTGCTGCGGCGGAGGTCGCTGATCCCCGCGACCCTGGCCTGCTGTCCGATCTACCCACTGCTGCTGATTCGGTGGCTGGTTATACCCTCCCCGATGAGATCCATTTCCGCGCCCGCCTCGGCCTCCGCCAGCGCCGCCTTGACCCGGTTGACTTGTGTCTCTTTCACCGCGACCTCCGCCGCCGCCGCCGCGACCACGGCCCCTGCCTCCGCCACGATAGTTCCCGCCGTCCATAACTCAATCGCCAGACGCCTAATCGACCGCACAATTAAGAAATTCCCAGTGAAAATGTGATACGCGCACTGCACCTAAAAAAGAATCCAGTTTTTAATTAGCACTCCGTACATTGGAATTAGCTTCTGGAGTAAGCAAATCTCTCGGATTGGTTACTCGCCTACACCTGTAAAAGAATGATCTAGAATTGTCTAGAAACTTTAACAGTGAGAGAGGCAAGTACGCAATTCTGTGGGACGCGCTTCGCGAATCGCGAATAGGTAACGTAAGCAAAAAAAAAAATCGAACCGATCCATACAAAAAGAATGGGACATAGGCTTGGGATGAGGAGAGAAATATGAGAGAAAAAAAATTGGAGTGAAAAAAATAAGAAAATAATTATTGCTTTGAAGTGTAGAAAGTGAAGAAAAACTCAGAAAAGAAAAGAAAATGTGATAAAACAAAAAGACATATTTATCCTTAGACCTGTCAAAAAATGACCCGACGTGTTTTTGACTCGAAACCTGACTTGAAAATACTGGATTTTGAACAAAAGTTTTGATGACCGAACCCGAAATGACCCGTTAAAAATGGGTCAACCTCGACCGAACCCGAACCCGACCTGACCGACCTGCTAAAGTAAGAATTTTTCAAAATCATACACTTTATTACTCGTTTTTAGTGTATACATTTATACTTTCAGACAAAATTTTAATGATATTGAATAATTATCTTACTTTTTCCCAAAACTTAAGCATTTTTAAATTCCTTATATTGATTTGTATATCTTAAAATTACTTCAAAGTTTAAAATAAAATAATTTTATAGATTTAATACATTTTTTTGATATTTTAAATTTATTTAATAGAAAATGTAAGTGTGAATGTGAATTTAAAAATTTAAAAAACTAAAGTCATAACCCGTTGGGTCGACCCGAACCCGATGACACTGGGTCATGAACATACAGTTCTCAATCCGAACTCGAAATAACCCGAACTTGAAGTGACCGAACCCGAACCCGACCTGACCGACCGATTTGCCAGTTCTATTAACCGTTACTCGATGTGAAACAATTATAAATAAAGAAGGTAAAATAATACTCTCTCCGTCCCACTCTCTTTGTCCACTTACCTTTTGGCACACCATCCAATGCACTTCTTTAATCCATTTGTAATTTATATATTAAAAAATTATAGAAATTATATATTAATAATCTATATGTTAAGACAAATCAAACAAGATCACACATGACTATATTTAGGCTTACACATTGAGAGAATTTGATGAGTCAAAGTGCTTAGATGAACAGTTCCAAAAGTCAAAAGTGGACAAAGAGAATGGGACGGAGGTAATACTACCTCTGTCACACAAATAGTACTCAGGGTTTGGTTTGGGTTGAATTCTTTTTGGAATTGAATTAGAGATTTAGAGTGAGGGAGATCACAATGTCAATTAATGAGGAGGAGCCTATTTGGAATGGCTTTTAGAGCCGTTTACCTCGGAGGGGTGAATGGCTAAAAAGAAACTCTTAGAGTACTGGAAATACTCATGAAGTCTTAAGGCTTAAAAATTTCTCTCTCTGCCACTTTAGCTTTAATTTACCTCACAGATTCAGTGGAAATGAGTTTGAAGTTCCGGGGCTTCAAACCTTCATTTTTACATTTTTAAATATACATCTTCTAAAACTAAATTAATAAAATTTAATTATTTTATTATTTAATTATATTGAAACAAGAATAATTAAAAAAAATTACATTCATTAAATATTTAAATTAAAAGAAATTGAAGCGACAATAATTTTAAAAAATTACATTCATTAAATTAAAAAAATTAATTATAAAAAGGGAGGAGATGGAGTTTGAAATTTATAAAAAAAATTAATTATTTTTTTCTTTTTTTGCTTCCAACGGCTAAATTAGCCGTTAATGAGTAAATTCTCTAAATAATCGTTTATAAATGGGCAGTTTCCATATTTAGTCTACATTTAGCAAATATTAAGTAGATAGTCCTTATTAATTGGGTACCATTCCACGTTTAGTCCTCTGTCTATTTTTCCATCTCCGTACCATTAGACAAGGACCAAACGTAGAATGGTACCCAATCAATAAGGATCACGAAAATAATATTTGATAATATGGATTAAATATGGAAATTCTTCCGTTATAAAGAACTTTTTAATTTGAAGAATTTTTTCTTTTTAAACCACTTTTAATATAAAAATTAATAGATAGGAAAAATGTATAACTGTAGTTTATTTATAAAAAATCAAAATTTGTACACTACAAAAAATAGTTTATCAAAAAATTTAAATTTTAATACGAGAATCTATTCGAAACTGATAGGAATTAAAAAGATATTCGAAGTTATTATCCTTTTTTAATAATGTAAGAGCTTCAAATTTTTATCTATAAAATAAGAGTATAATGCTAATAATGCCAGAGTATTGATCTACTTTTGAGTTTTTTTGTCAAAATCGGTAATCTTTAACCATGAATTAAATAAAATTAATATTAGATATTGATACAAAAACGATTTTATTGGATTTATGTAAATAATTTTATTTAATTATAGGTCAAATGTTGAAAATGGTTGACTGCAAAAAGTCAAAATTAGACAAAATACTCAAAGACGAAGGTAGTACTTTCAATATTAAAAATGAATTAAAAAAGTAAACTTTCCAAATAGTCCTTTATAACGGGAGAATTTCCCTATTTAGTCCATATTATCAAATATTATTTTTATGGTCCTTATTGATTGGGTATCATTCCACGTTTGGTCCCTTGTCTAACGGCATGGAGACAGAAAAATAGACGGAGGACTAAACGTGGAATGATACCCTATTAATAAGGACTTTCAATATAATATTTGATAAATGTGGACTAAATATCGAAACCCCCAATTTATAAAGGACTATTTAAAGAATTTACTCTAGTCGTTATATAGGGGGGAGAAGCTGCGTCAAACGAATGACGATGGAAGGATAACGCCAGGGTGAAGCTCTAGAGGGACTGTGTTTAATGTTGGGACTGCGCGTGCCCTCACCCCAACCCCGCATTAGTATGATATTGTCCGCTCTAGGCCAAGCCCTCACGGATTTGTTTTTGGGCACCTCCTAAAAGGCTTCATACTAATGGGGTTGGGTGAACCTATATATTTTGGTTCATTTACTCCTACTCATCCGGTGTGGGACTTGGAGGAATCCCAACATTTAACGCCCCCTAGGCTTCAAAAGTATCATAACACCGGTTGGCGTTACATGTATTGCTAGTGGCCTTACATATACGCATAATTTTTGTTTCTAAAGGACACCATCCTTCTTTGAATCTCTCTATTTTTTTTATAAATTTTATCTCTTAGTCTCTATCCTCTAAATTCTATTTACTATTCTCTTAATTTCTTATTATCTCAAATATTCATATTATTTATATAAATGTATTAATATATCATAAATAGATTATTTAAATTTTTGGTTTCAAATTTTTTTAAACAATATTTACATTGGTTTATTTATTTTAATTTAATTTATATTCATAGTTTATTTTAATTATTTATGGGGAAAGCCTGTAAAAAGTACATAGATGCTTAATATATTAGTGCTAAAAAGTAAAAAGTAATATGTTAAAAGGGGAAAATATTATAAATGGAAAAATAATGCTTCTTTGAAATAAAACCACTAACATAAATATAAAATTAATAAAATTCATTCGGAAAAGTATATGCATTACTAATTATTCCATAAAAATGAATGATTCATAATCAAATTTTTATGCAAAAATATAGTTCTAAATACAAAAATATGAAGTGTTTCATACCCTCTATACGTATATAATGAATTATTACATATATAAATATATATTGAATTAAAATATAAAAACTAGACTATAATATCTGAATAAAAAATGTTTAATGAGTTATTTTTAATTGTTTTTTACTAATATATTTTAAATAATTTCATTGGTCAAAATATTGCTCGAAAAACGAACCAAAGTGTTAAAAAAATAGGATTATTAATTCTTAAGATTAACTGCATGAAACGCGCAAAAAAAACTATTAATTTAGTCACTATGTTCAATCAATAAAAAAATAAAATAAACTAATTCCAAATCACTACTCCATATATTAATTAAAATTTCTAACTCATTAAAATAATGAATAGGTGGCTGAAGACTTGTTATAAATGTCAAATAGACCTGTCACATGTCAAAATTCTCTGAGCCGAGACTAAAATATTAGAGTAAAGGATGAGTTTACTAGAGCCATAACACTATGATGTATGTCAGTTTTTTTACTAGTCAACTAGGATAGGCTTAAGGTTTACATAGATTTTCTCACACATTTTTTTATTTCATTAAAAATTAATTGTTTAAACACTTAGAAAGTGTTTATCTAGCATGTATAAAGGTCCACCATAAAGAACATAGACCTCAGACTCATGCAAGATTTTGTCTTCAATTTTTAAAGAAATCATTTTTTGACAAAAAATATGTCACTCTTATTTTGATATAGAGACTATTATTTGCTATTATTTTGGATAATTCTATTTAAAAACAAACCAGAATTTTTTAGAGGAAGAGAGTACTTCGTATGTTTCTATGTTTTACTGAAATTCTTATCCCATGACATTCATAAAATTTTACTACTAGTAGGATTATTTGATTTGCAGTCAATAAAATCTCAAATTCAAAATCAATTACACAAATTCATTTAGGGTCCCTTTGGTATACAGAATTGGTGGAATTGGAATTGAAATTTCATGGGATTGAATTCCATAGAATTGAATTCTGTCAATTCCAATTCATTTTTTGCACTATCAATTCCAAATCCACGTATTTTTTGTGCCATCAAACACAAGAATTGGAATTGAAGTTCCCAATTTCATAGTTTGAATTTCATGTATCAAACGGGACTTTAGGTTTTATTTAGTACACGCAATTCAAACTATAGAATTGGACTTAATAATAACAATACCAATTGTGTTGTTTGGTATCACAAAAATATGTAGATTAGAATTGAGTAGTTCCAAAAATGAATTGGAATTGGAAAATTCAATTCCATCCAAATCAGTTTTTTGGCATTTAGGATGACTTTTAGCCGTTTTGACCAACTTTTGCGGATTTGACTGGTCAAACTTTTAAAAAGTATGTTTGGTAGTTGGGTATAAAGATTGGTTGTTTGAGTTGAAAAATCCATAATTTAAAAATCTACTCGAGTAGCATTTTGGTTATGTAATTTTTATGAATAGATAAAAAATAACTATTTATTACGTAATTAAATAAAAAATTGATAAGGAATGAATATATAAATAAAAAATTGATAAATAAATAAATAAATTAATGACTAAATAAATAAATAAGTAAATAGTATATAAATAAATAAATAGTAATTAAATAAATGTCATTCCCCAGGTAAAATTCATGAATCGATTTGCGAGAAAAAATATCTTTTTCTGATTTTTTCCAGAATTTGGTGTAGAATTAAAAAAATTATATATTTAAGAATTACATCAAAAAAAAATTTGAAACAAAATATGATACTCTGTATAATTATATTATTCTATCAATTGATCGATAAAGCACATAAATAAATAAAATCATAATGACTTTAGAACATAGCTTAAAATTTTATTTGAAGAAAGAATATATATTGCAAAGCATGTTATACCATATAATTATATAGGTGAAATTTTCTTAAATTTAATTTAATGGATAGGTCAAATCATTTTTTTTATCAACAACAAATATAATGCATAGATAAAAGCAGCCAACTCAACCAACCGTTTAAACCAGCCAACATGTGTTAGTAGGTGTTGATCGTTGTGTCCACTCCTTAGAGGGGGGAGAATAAAGCCTTTGAAAACTTTTTGTAGAGTTATAAAAACGGTGTTAGAAAATGCGGAAGCAATATATAAAACACAGAAATAAAAGCGTAAAGTAAAAATTGCACACCGATTTTATATTGGTTCGGGAAACCCCTACACTAGTACCTCGCGAGGCTCCTCCTCAAGGATTTCCAAATCCACTAAGTCCCGGTCTCTTGAACTCCGTCAAAGTACCACATTAGTTTTGACAAACAACCCTTGTCAATAAGATTCATTCCCAGATTTCACCACAACTATCTCGAATTGTTTACAACGAAGATCTAAAGGCTATCTTCTATCGTTCCCCCAAGGATTTCAAAGGCTATCCTTGAACCTTTACCCCAAGATTTATACGGTTATCCTTAACCGTTACAACGTGAGAATTTAACGGCTATTCTCGACCGTAAGAAAGTGTGTTTGAAAAACACAAACAAAAATTCTACACAACGGCTAGAATATAAAAATAAAGAACAAAATTTAGCCGGTGTAGAAGAAAATTATACTCTCTCAAAAATAAAATATAAACTTTTGAATATGAGAGTATATATAATTAGAAACACAAGCTGAAAATGTGTGTATAAAAATCAGGAATTTAAGGCTCTTGAAATAGCCAAAATATTGAAAATAATGAATAAAAGAATGAACACACTTAGAATATAAAGGGAGGATGTTTGGAGCTTTGTTTCTTGTTGAAATATGAAGTAATAGACCTATATTTATAGTGGAAGATGTTAATTAGCCATTGGGAGGGGATAAGGACTGATTTAATTCAAAAATCAGCAATCAGGAAGTCTTCCAATGGTTACGGTACCCTGTCACGGTAGCTAGGTACCTTCTTAGGCTAAAACTCTCTGACGGTACCTGTCCTCTTACGGTACCCCGTCCGGTAGGGGGGTCCCGACCTGACGGTAAAGGGGTCTCGGACCGACGGTAGGGGTTACGTTCTTAGATTGACTTACGGTACCCCTCACGATACTCCTTACGGTACCTAGGTACCTGATGACCGTTTTGATGATTTTTTCATTTTTGTCCAAATCGTTTCCAATTTTGTTTAAAACCTTTTGGGTGTTTGAAAATGATTATAAGAGGGTTTTAAACATATTTTGTGAGTAATTTTGAGCTTGGAAATATAACTATATAAAATCATATTCTTACATCGATTTCTACCTATATTCTATGCAAGTTTAGTGTTCCGACTTCATTCCAATTCTTGAGAACCGAATCTAATGGATTCTTGCTGTACCTGAAACACTTAATCAAACGTTAAGCTCTTATATTGTTTGTTAACATCAAAACATGAGGCTTAGAAAATCAAGGCTAACAATCAACCCCTTCTTTATGTTGACAAACAATATACTTCAAAGTGAGTTAGGCGGGAGTAAAATAATGAAGCAAGCAAACCCCCCTTAAGAATAAACATATTGAAAATACTCACTTTGAACTTTTTCTTGTGTTTATTCAAAGTTTAAGTTTGATGCAAATAGTTACACAAGAATGCACTCAAGTCAAGTTGCATATGCACCACTTTGAAGTATACATCTTCTCCCTCTTTTGTTAAAATCAAAAAGGGCATTTTGTATAACTTCTTGAAACCCTCCCCCTCACAGAGTAAATTTTTTTTGGAAAATGATAGTTTGGAGATCATTGGGCACAAGGTACATTTACAACAAAACTCACTCTAAAACAAAAAAAAACTCCCCCTAAAATGATGCAAGTTTAAAAACATTATTTTCAGGGATTATTTTCTAAAAAGTATAATTTAAAGATGAATTTTGAAAAAAAATTATTTAATCATGCAAACCAAGGCTAAAAAAATTAAAGCACGTATGGGATAACGTTTTATTTTTGAAAATAATTAAAACCAAACAAAATATCTTATCTCAATAAGCAAGAAAAACTTACCTTGTCTTATGCCTCTCTTTCTTTTGCTTTGAATATGTTTCTTTCCTCTTTTCGTATTTCTTCCATTTGAGGAAATACGTATACTTCATTCTCATTGTCTTCCCTTCATCTTCCTCATCATTTGACTCTTCCGAGGAGCTTGAGTCACTTGAATCATCACTTGACTCACTCGATTCTTCACTTGATGAGTTTTTGGAAGCTTTCAAGGCATTGGTAAGTTTGGGATTTTCATGCATTTCTTCCTCTTTGATCTTTCTCAACAAAAGTTTGTGAGAATACAAGGAAGACCAAATATGGGCGGTTTTGGTCTTATCACATTTGGGTAATAAATCTACGATACTACTATGCCATTCTTTAGGTAAAGAAAATAGAGTTTTCGTATTAAACTCAAAAGTAGTATGCGTCTTACCCAACTTACTCAATTTGTTGACAACCTCGTTGAATCTCTTATTCATGTCTTGGATTATCTCACATGGCTCTTCTTTAAGGATTCATATTCCTTCAAGAATGAAGGAACGCTAAGCTCAAAAGAATGAAAGAACATTAAGATTCGGTTCCCAAGAATGAAGTCGGAACACTAAACTTGCATAGAATATATGTAGAAATTGATGTAAGGATATGATTTTATATACCTATATTCACAAACTCAAAATCACTCACAAAATATGTTTAAAACCCTCTTATAATCATTTTCAAACATCCAAAAGGTTTTAAACAAAATTGGAAACGATTTGGACAAAAATGAAAATGATTATAAGAGGGTTTTAAACATATTTTGTGAGTGTTTTTGAGCTTATGAATATAGGTATATAAAATCATATCCTTACATTGATTTCTACCTATATTCTATGCAAGTTTAGTGTTTCGACTTCATTCTTGAGAACCGAATCTTAATAAATTCTTGTTGTACCTAAAACATTTAAACAAACGTTAAGCTCTTATATTGTTTGTTAACATCAAAACACGAGGCTTAAAAAACCAAGGCTAACAACATGTACAACTATCAGCCAACATCTAATAGCTAAATTATAAACACGGCCATCATCTCTCAAAATTAGCACCGAATGGAGCATATGGGGGGGTCATTACTCCATAATTTATTTACATTATTATTATTATCAAACCGTTCATGAAAATTTGTTCACTATTTTGTAGAATTATACTCTCTCTCTAAATTTAAGTGGCTTGTTCACTACTTAGTCAGATTTTAAGCACTTTCATTACTCATGGTCATGTCACCTATTCTTTTGTAAATTTTTGGATGTAATATTTTAATATAAAAAATTTCATACCAAATTTTATATAAATTGAGTTGAAAATATTTTTTGTCAAATATTTTAAATTTAAGGAAAATTTATATAAATACTCCCTGAAATTCAGAATTTTATAATAATACTCCCAAAATCAAATAAAGACTCTTATGCTCCCAATTAAATTTTATGTTTACATGGTTACTCCCATTGTGCCTAATTAATCTTTCTTACTTTTAGGTGTCATTAAATGAGCTTAGTTGGCAAATTTGATTTGTACTTTCTATTTTAAGGAGTAATAACCATTCGTGTGTTCAAAAAAAAATACGGAGTACAGTACAATCAAAATTTATCTATCTCCATTCTTCATACCCAAGGTTCAACGGTAAACCTTTACGAGTGACTTTTCTTCTTTCTTCATATCACATATAGTCTCTCTCATAAGGAAAGATGTCAACTGTTTATGATGTTTTTGAGAAACCATCGGAAGCAAGGATCTGCTTCAAATCTATGGAGTTCTTCGCGTCTTCATCAAACAAAGAAAGTCGTCCGGGTCCGAATTGCAAGCATAATATTTGTGCTAATCTGTATGTCCCTCTAAACCCCCCTATTGTGGGAAGAGAGGTAAACTATAAATTGATTAAGCACAATCAATTAATTATATGTAACTGTTAGACATTAGAGTTCTATTCCTAGTACAAGTTGTAATAGCTAGTTATCATCCTAGAGGAATCCTACTCATATGAGGATCTCCACCTATATATATTCTCATGTATCCTCCTTTATTTCCTTAAGTAAAATACATTGTTTCATAGAATTCAACATGGTATCAGAGCCACAAGATCCTCTCTCCTCTCTCATACGCTAAACACACAAAAAAGGAGCAATCTCTGCGGCTAGGGTTTCCGCCATTACCCGCCGCCACTGCTGCCCTTCACCGAAGCAGCACCACCACAGCAACATCATGTCTCTCTCAATAGACGATCCTATGGATCGCCTACCCACCGGCCTCAAGCTGTTCGTCAGGAATCTCCAATCTCTCACTCTGGCGAAGCTTGATGATTCGAATTATCCCTCTTGGTCAGCAACCATTCGAGCTAATCTTCTGGCTCATCGTCTTCTAGGTTACGTGGATGGAACCGAATCCGCGCCTCCCACTCTTGTTATTGACGGAAAAGCCGCTACCTCCGGTAAAGAAGATTCTCCGGTCATGAAGGCAAATCTAGCTTATGAGACGTGGATGCTCATTGATGCCCAACTACGTGCATGTTTATTAGCCATCGTCTCCCCCACCGTCCAAACACACATACATGCTCTACCAACATCCGCCGCAATATGGACTCATCTTGAACAACGGTATAATTCCTTATCTCGCACTCACATCTTCCAGTTGAAAGAACGCCTTCATAGTCTCCAAAAAGGGAGTGATTCCATGCAAACCTACCTTGACAATGCTTTGAACATTGAATCCTTGCTTACTCTCGCTCATGAGAGTATCTCATATCAAGACATCAATCTTTGCATACTCCGTGCATTGCCGGCAGACTATAGCTCCTTGAAGCAGAACATCCGCACCAATATTGGGACTGTCACCCCGAACCAAGTCTCGGCCTGGCTTCTCTTAGAAGAACTCAACGTCAACCTTGAGAAAAAATTACAACTCCACGATCTGTTAGACAAATGTGCAACTCTAGAGGGGGGGTGAATAGAATTGTTTTCAAGAATGTGCGTTTTTCGCGTGTGTGAAATAATAGAATTGCAGGAATAAATAAAGAGAGTAAGGGAAAGAAGAACACCGAGATTTATACTGTTTCACCACCTTGTGGCTAATCCGGTCTTCCGAGAGACTCTCTCGAAAGTCCTANGCAGGAATAAATAAAGAGAGTAAGGGAAAGAAGAACACCGAGATTTATACTGGTTCACCACCTCGTGGCTAATCCAGTCTTCCGAGAGACTCTCTCGAAAGTCCTACTAATCTTCAAGCTTCAACGGGTGCTTGAAAAACCGGTACAACTTGAGAACTTGAATCACACAAGCCTCACTTTCTTACAACAACAAGACTTGAGTCACACAAGTCTTAAGAACAACACTCAAAAGAGATTGAGTTTACAACACAAGAATGAAAGCTCACACAATTGAGCAAAGTAGTGTTGAAAGATTTAAGCTCTATGGATGACAACTTCTTTAGCACTCAAAGAAAATATTTCTAACTCTCAAAAATAATATTTTGATGAGGAAGATGAAGCAAAGGATGAATATAGCTCAAAGAATATATTGGAGTGCAAGAGGTGTGTGTAGAAATGAAGGAGAATGAGGGATTAAATAGGCTAAGGAAAATAAAGCCGTTGAAGAAAGCTGATGATATGCACCAGACAAAATTAATCGATTAAATTAGGAATTTTAATCGATTAAAGTGTACAGAAGCGAAAAGGCTTGAAACCAAAAGTGGAATTAATCGATTAAAAAAGAGGGAACAATCGATTATTCTGCTCTGTTTAAACTAATCGATTAAATGGATAAATTTAATCGATTAAGTTGATTTGCCTGAGAAAACCAGCGCTGTGAAATTGGATCTAATCGATTATTTCAGAATAATTAATAGATTAAAGTAAAAATAATGCGCAAACATGAAGGGCCCAAGCCAAGCGCGATTGGAAACCCTTTGGCTTCTAACTCGTTGTTTTGGACAACGGGAATATCAACGGACATCGGACGCTCCTATTGAATGAATTTGTGTGTCAAACGATGTACACGAAAAATGTTTAAAGTATATTTTTCTTACCAAAAAAAATTGTGTAATCTTAAAAGAATGTTTTTAAGAAATTTTGACACACTTATTTGAAACTGACTCAATAAAATATTTTAGACAGAGGAAAAGTAATTTTTCAACTGACTCAATAAAAATTTTTATCCCTCAGAAATTAATTTGTTTGTGCAGAAGATAATGTCATCCTTACAAAAATTCCTAGACTAAAATAAAAAAGTCTTCGGAGTCTTCACTTCACTTCAAAAAAAATCTGCGTAGGGGTGGTCGTCGATTTATATCGCCGTAAACTTCTTGATATCCTTCTTTGCTTTTCTCGATACGAAAATAAATTTTCGATCAGCTTGAAATTAATCATCCTGTTTGTCATTCATCAAAACAAAAAAATATTCCAGAAGAAATAGAAAAGGGGTTTGAACTCATGTCCAACACGATCCTGCCCCGTCACAACGCCCTCTATACCACCTCTGGTCGGGGTAATTTTCGTGGCCGGGGATGCGGTAATAACCGCGGCAGGGCTGGCTCCCGGGCCGGCAGTACGTACGGCGGCCGAGGCAGGGGGGCTCCGCGTGATGACCACCGTGGCAGGGGGGCCGCGGCCTGGTTCTGTCACCTGCCAGTTATGTGGAAAGCCCGGTTATGCAGTCTGGGATTGTTGGCACCGTTTTGATGAGTTCTATTCTGGTCCCCCACAGGCGTTCTACATAAGTCAATCTACTGACACTAATCCGAATTGGCATCTAGATATAGGGGCTAACACTCATGTGACTTCTGATTTCTCACGACTGCAGCACTCTTCTCCGTATCATGGCTCTAATACTATTACTACTGCCGGAGGTAATACTTATCACATTACTCACACAGGCTCAGGTAATTTATCCACCACACACCACACCTTTCACCTATCTAACCTACTCCATTCACCTAATATTAACTCTCACCTCCTCTCTGTCCATCAATTTACCAAAGATAATAACTGTTCTCTTCTTTTTACCTCTAAGGATTTTACGATTCGGGACAACAGAACCAACCAAGTGCTATTCAAGGGCCCCTGTGAGCGTGGTTTGTACTCCCTATCTGCATCTAGTTCCTCTCCCATGGTCAACATGGTCAAAGCCTCCCCTTATCAGTGGCATTGCCGTCTTGGTCACCCATCAGTTCAAGTCACCAAGTCTCTACTCTCCCAACTCGGTTTCCGATTCCAAGACCTTGGTCATTGTAATTCTTGTTCACTAGCAAAGTCACATAAGCTTCCCTTTCCTGTGTCTGCAACTAAGGCGTCTTTTCCTTTTGAACTTGTTCATTCTGATGTATGGGGACCAACTTCTGTACCCTCTTTTGGAGGCTTTCGCTTTTAAATTAATTTTATTTATGATTACACTAAATATTGCTGGCTTTATCCTCTTAAGAGTAAATCTGATGCCTTTCATGCTTTTCAAAGTTTCCAATCTATGGTTCATAATCAGTTCCAAACTCAAATAAAAACATTTCGAACTGACAATGATTGTGAATATGTTTATAAACAGTTTGGGTTATTTTTACAACGCTTGGGGGTTCTTCATCAAAAATCATGTCCCCATATATACCCCTGAACAGAACGGGGTTGCTGAACGAAAACACCGTCACTTGGTCAAAACTCTTGTGACTCTTTTGTGCACTGCATCCCTTCCAACTAAATTCTAGGTTGAGGCTCTGGCTACCGCCAATTTTTTGATAAATCGCATGCCCAAAAGGTCCCTTCAAAACCAATCCCCATATGAAGCCCTTTATCACACACGACCTGACTACTCCACCCTCCGTGTCTTTGGATGCCTCTCTTATCCATGTCTTCGGCATGAAATCACAAATAAATTTCAAACCCGATCCAAACGCTGTATATTCCTCGGATATGATACGTCCTCCAAGGGATATCGGTGTTATGATCCCTCCACTGGTCGTATATACGTCTCTCGTCATGTTGAGTTCCAAGAAAACCAATTTCCGTACTCCCCTGCGTCTTCCCCACATGCACCATCCGACCTCAGTCCTGCGTCATTCTTCGGTGTCCTCCCCATATTCCCGGTCAGTTCCTCTGTCGTCCCATCCTATGCTCACGGGGTCCCTCCGATAGCTACACCACCCCACCCACCTATCCTGCCCAACACACCCCTGTCTGGCCAGCACCCTACGGCCAGCACCCAACCCTCCCAACAGCACCCTATGGCCAACCACAGCCCACTCCGTCCTCTCATCCAACCCCCTCCCCCGTCACCCATCACTCCGCCACCTAACCCTACGGCATCCCACAACTTCCCAAAACCAAAAACCCTACAGCCCGAAAATCCTCCTACCTCACAGCCCACTCCCAAATCCACTACTATCGCCATTCCAACCCCACCCCCACCACCCCGCCACCCAATGACAACTAGTTCCCAAAGTCGTATCTTCAAACCCAAGCTCTACTCTACCTCTACCTCTCTCCTTCAACCACCTGACACTGAGCATGTTACATATAAGGATGCCTCCCAGAGTAATTATTGGTGTCAGGCTATGGACGAAGAATACTCTGCCTTGATAAATCAGCACACATGGGATTTAGTTCCATGTCCTACAGATCGGGTTCCGATTGGTTGTAAGTGGGTTTACAAAATTAAACATAACTCTGATGGCTCTGTTAGCAGGTACAAAGCCCATTTGGTGGCAAAGGGGTATTCACAGGAATATGGCTTGGACTACTCTGAGACTTTCAGTCCGGTAGTCAAACAACAGACTATTCGCCTCATCCTCTCCCTTGCGGTGAATCATAACTGGCCGCTGCATCAGCTGGATGTCTCCAATACCTTCCTGCATGGCGTCATCCCGGATGAGATTTACATGAAGCAGCCACCTGGGTATGATGATCAGAAATTCCCACATCATGTGTGCCTATTAAAGAAGTCTTTGTACGGCCTCAAACAGGCTCCTCAAGCCTGGTACGAGCGCCTCTCGGGTTTTATCCAAGACTATGGGTTTGGTAAAAATGAGCATGACACCAGTTTTTTCGTTAAGCACTCAACTCGTGGTATTCTCATTGTTCTGTTATATGTGGACGACATTATTGTCACGGGCAGTGACTCCTCACTTACCACCACGTTTATCCACTCCATGCAACAAGAATTTCAGATGAAGGATCTTGGCCCTCTTCACTACTTTCTGGGTCTTGAGGTCAAACGTACAAAGGATTATCTCATTGTGACTCAAGAGAAATATGCCCAGGAAACTACATAAAGCCGGTGTAGAGGAGTGCAAACCATCGCCGACGCCAATTCCCGTACGGTCGGCTGAGGACGGGGGGAACCGTCCTTTTGAGAATCCCACCTTTTTTCGCAGCTTAGTTGGTTCTCTCCAGTATTTAACAAACACCAGGCCAGATATTCAATTTGCGGTGAATCATGTCTGTCAGCGTATGCATGCTCCTACAGAACAGGACTTCCAGTCTTTGAAGCGTATTCTGCGCTATGTCAAAGGCACGCTTGATCAAGGGTTAATATTTCGCAAAGGTCCGCAAAGGTTGCAAGCCTACTCTGATTCTGACTGGGAAAATGATATGACAGATGGACGCTCTATTACAGGTTACCTGGTATATTTTGGCTCGAACCTCATCTCCTGGAGCACAGAGAAACAAAGTCGGGTATCTCGCTCATCGACCGAGGCCGAGTACCGTGCCCTGTCGGCTGCTGCAGCTGAGGTAATGTGGCTCACATATCTGTTTGACATCTTGAAGATTAAGCTTCCTCCACCGCATCTTTACTGTGACAATCAGTCCGCTATTTGCTTAACTAAGAATCCAGTATTCCACAAGCGCATGAAACACGTTGGTATCGACTGTCACTTTGTGCGAGAGCAGGTTATTGCAGAACAAATGACTGTTTCACATGTCCCGTCTCAAGAGCAGTTGGCAGACCTTCTCACCAAAGCTTTGCCATCTCCACACTGGGTTCCAAGCTTCCACTTGTTTCACGACGTTCAGCTTGAGGGGGGATGTTAGACATTAGAGTTCTATTCCTAGTAGAAGTTGTAATAGCTAGTTATCATCCTAGAGGAATCCTACTCATATGAGGATCTCCACCTATATATATTCCCATGTATCCTCCTTTATTTCCTTAAGTAAAATACATTGTTTCATAGAATTCAACAGTAACCATAATTAGAAAAATTGATTAAGCAAAACGACCCGGTTCCGTAGCCACTGGATTCCAGTGGCCACGAAAGCCACTACCCCCCTACGGACCTCCGTTCATAAAGTTGATGATTCCTACCCCCCTAACCCCCACGGTAAACTCCTCCGCCAAGTCACGACCCAAACTAATCCCTCCACCCACGTCAATTGCACCTCGTAAGTATAATTGACTTTAAAGTCAAAAGTTTTGACTGTATACTTACGAGGTGCAATTGACGTAGGTGGGGGGATGAGTTTGGGTCGGGACTTGGCGGGGGGGCTTACCGGGGGGTTAGGGGGTAACGGAGGTTCGTAGGGGACAGTGGCTTCTGTGGCCACTGGAATCCAGTGGCCACGGAACCGGGCCGTAAGCAAAATGGGAGTAATGATGTAAACTTAAAACTTAAATGGGAGCATCAATGTCTTAATTGTCTTTATTTGATTTTGGGAGTATTATTGTAAAATTCCAAATTTCTGATAGTATTTGTATAAATTTTTCCTAAATTTAAACATATAATTTGATTAGGACAGAGAGTAACACATCTGACACATCTTATTTTGTCTATAATCATTATTAAATGTATTTTATAATAGTCCAAAAATGCAACAAATTTGACACATCCTATTTCTATTATTATACACATGATGATTGTGCACAACTTGACAACCATTATGACCATGAGTAATACGCTATGAGCATTTCTTTATATAAAAAAACACTATTAAGACTACAATCAATAAAAGTTTGACAATTTCGTATGGATCTATGTGCAAAAATTAGGAATTTGTCTCCTCCTCATCTCAAGTCTTTAGTCACAATCTCCTTTTGCAAAAGCCAATGCATAAACTAGGAAACTTGTCTCCCTCTTAATCTCCATAATCTGATTACCAAAGGGCAAAGCAAAATCTGCGTGTAGTGAATGCTGAAATCGAAGAAGCCGTCGCTGGATCCAATCCACCATTTCTTCACTCTGGTTCTCTTCATCCTCCCTTCACTCTTTGCTAAATATTCGTTTTTCATTTAATTAGCACTGCATAGAATTCTCATAAGCTGTGAGAAGTATAATTATCTTAATAATTAATTAAATTATTTCTGTATCTATCTGTTTTGTTCATTTTTTTGTTTGTTTGCAATTTACTATGGGCATTAGCAGATCCTAAAATCCGTTCTTAATTCTGGGCATTGCTGATAATAACGAGGAGATTAGAAGAATGGGTTCTAAAAGCATTCAAACGTTCTTTACTAGGTAATTTACCAATTTAAACGAATTTAGAAAATTCTGCACTTTCTTGGATTCAGTTGGGATGATATGGAAAAAAGGAAACTCTTTTAATTATTCTCATGAGTTGTCATTATTAATTGTGATGTTTCTTTGCTTTCGTCACACGATAATCGCACCCTTTTTTTCTTCACATTCCCTTTCATGCCCAGTTTTCCTTTTCGTCTGAGCTACAAATTAGAATCACAAACGAGAAGAATCCTTGGCATTTTTTCTAAAAAAAAAAAATCTTCTTGGGTAAATTTTCCTCGTTTGTCAGTGTTGCATGGGTAAGTTTTCTGGGTTAATCTTGTAAAGTTTTTTTTACTTCGTATTTACTTTCACAAGCGGAGGAACAGCTACCTCAGGCTCCCCCACACTCCCATCCGACAGGATTGTGAGGGGGATAAATGTATCTCAATTTGGTCTTTAGAGAGGCCGCCATGTGCCCGGTGCGCACAAGGAGCTATTACAAATAATAGAACTCCCACACTGCCGCTGTCGGGATTCGACCCTAGGATCAACGGGCTTGACATCCTCTCCTTGGACCAGTTGAGCTACACATGCGGGTTTTCGTATTTACTTTCATAGAATTATCAAAGATTAATTTACCCTTTTCATGTGTACGCATACATGCATCTCCTATTTGTTTATGATCAATGAGATTCTTGAATTTTCACAGAATCCAGATTTGCCATTCTTGATTGTGTGGGTCCTCTTATTAATTTTCTTTTTTTTTCTCTTGGTTTTTTCTGTAGTTCTTCAAAATGGGAAACTTGTTCTGAATGATTTGGTTTATGAGGTGAAACAGAATCTGGAATGGACATACGGAATCGAAAGCATTTCAGATTCTTGGGCCTGTATATCAATTCATATGCATTGAAATGTGTGGTTCTGTTTGTGACTGCTTTGGTCTGCAGAGTTCTTCTTTTCCCCAGACTATCAAACATCTCGCTCCCATCTGAATCCGAGTCTTCGATCCAGAAACCAAAGTTTTTGGAGGTTCCACAGATAGTATGGGGATTGAACAATCAGAAGATTGCATTTGCAAGAGCATGTTTGACTGCAAGAATGCTGAAAAGGAAGCTTTTGATGCCGAGTTTGAGCGCTTCGCTCTTCTACAAGGAAGTTGACCTCTTGGATCCCATCTCATTCCATAAGGTCTTCCAATTCGAAACCTTCAATTCGCGCTGCTCGGATTTTGTCCAATTGGGACACTTTCCCAAGGTTTTAAATCGCAGCGATGCAGTTGAGCTCCAAAAGGGAAGTGGGAGGAAGTGGACAGTGGAGAAAGACTATGATCAGTTAGTAGAGTTCAGCAAACATCCATATGATCAGTATCAAGTAGTTAAAGTTGTTGGGAAAAACCCGTTTTTATGGCACGACCATTGGCCAGCTAAGGACTACGCGAGGGTCTTCGACTGCTTAGTCTTTGTAGATCAGATATCCAAAGAGGCTGATAAAGTCATCTCTACAGTCAGAAATGCAATGGGAAAGGTCAAATTGTCTCAGCCAGCGCCTTATATGGCAGTTCACATGAGAATAGAAAAAGATTGGATGATTCATTGCAAGAAATTGGAGCAGAGACTAAACATCACTGAAATTTGTAGTAGTAAGGAGGAGATTATGGACCGAGTCCGAAACATTATAGGCCTTAAAATCCCAATAATTGTTTACCTCGCGGTTGCGGATACCCTTCTTGAAGACGAAGACTCTATTTTGGAGGGTTGGGACGAAGGGTTGATCGTACGGGAAAAGAAGAGATTGGGTGTCACGGGAATATACAAAAAACATCCTTACCTTATTCAATCAGCCATAGACTATGAGGTCTGTCTGAGGTCAGATATCTTTGTAGGCAACAGTTTTTCAACATTTTCTAGCCTTGTGGTTCTTGACAGGACTCAGAAAATGATCAAATCGGGCAATGTAAGAATGTGCGGTGTGGATGCCCGTTGGCCTTCGTTTGCTTATAATTTGTTAGGGCAATCTAACGGTCCTCGTCCGTGGGTAACAAACTTGTCCGATTCGAGCTTGCAGTCAATTAGCTATGGCTCTAATCAGATTCATTGCTGACTATATGTCACTGGGAAACTATGGTATTGACTCTACTTTTAGGGAACAAGTAAATTTTGTGTAAATGAAAATGTGAAGAAAATTGTTGCAGCATTAATTGCATAATTCTAGACAACCTCTATTTTGTACTTGATTCTTTGTATACATCACATTTGATTAAGTTATTCTGTAGGACAGGACATTGGGACCGGTTTAGAGCTGTGATTTGCTTGTCCTTTGGTATGATAGTTGGGTAACATTTCTATCTCTGCCCCACAATGGATGCCACCGTCGCAAAACGAAAAAAAAAAACCATTTTTAAAATTCACTTAAATTTTGGTATGGAATAAGAAGTAAAACTTGCTTTCTACAAAACATAAGGTGATAACAATATTATTTATATACCAAGTTTTAAATATATATTTTTTATTTTTAAACTAAGTTTTAAATATAATAAATTTTAAAAACTTGGAATTTCACCTCATTTTAACTTTCATATAGGTCATTGTGGGACAGAGGGAGTATGATTGAAAGTTATACTCTCTCTTTCCTAATTTAATTTTTCCATTTGTCTTTTCACGTAGTACCATTCTTTTTAAGGAATGATAATTTTATTTTGAGATAACCCAGAAAGAAAAAGTAGAAAGATTAATTTAGGACGAAAAGAGTATAAAGGATAAAGAAAATTACTTCGTACAAAATTGGAAGATTAATATGTTTCAAAGCTTCATTTTGAAACAAACTTTAAATTGGTGTGCATAAATAAACAATCACTACAAAGTATGTCTCACGAGAAAAGTAAAGCCGGTAGGCGTGCGTCGTTACAAGTATATTAAGGAGGTAAGGTTTGATTCTGCCCAACTATGCTGGAAGACAGTTACGTTAAATATTAGGTACAAACTTTACGTTTTGCTACTAATCAATGATTAAAGTTCAATTTACTTTTTCTCAAGTGATCCTCTAATCAGATCGGTTTTGAAGAGTTTTCAAGGATAGGGTAATCTTTTTCTAAAGGATGAGCCTCATCCCCAAAGATCCTCTCAGACCCGACTGAACGGTCACTGAGAGAAAATAATTAGACTTTATTCGCAGATTGGTAGCAGGAAGTAATAAAGTTTGCACCTGGTACTTGAAGAGGTCTTATGATTAAGTACAGACACCCTTAGTGCAGATGCCGGAATCAAATTTGGGTCTATCCGTAGGTACTTCTTGCTTTTGTCAACTGTACAATGTCCACTGACAAATTTTTTTTTGCATGTGAAAAGTACTGTATTGTTTTTTTGCATGTGAAAAGTATTGTTCTTTTTGAGGCTTTACGTTTATGACGGGCGTGATTGGGTGATTGGTCCGGCCCTGCAGAAACAATAAATGCAACATTGACTCAATGCTTTAACGGTTTTATTTATTGGCAATGCATGTGCATTATTTACTATTGTCATACCTTGATGAGGAGTTGCATCCGATGTTTTCTGTTTGAGATACTCAGCAACAGGTAATCATGTTTGGGTTTTGACCTGGCCAGGGAATTAACCAATATGTTCTCTCTCATAACAAATTTATGTTTAGATTCCACAAAATTTACGAGAAATATAGAAAATGTTGTACTTATATTTAAGTGTAATTGAAATAATCAAATAATTATTTGACCAATTTTATCATAATAATCATCAAGAAAGTTTAGTGGTGCGAAGTTCATATTTTTTGAGTTCGTTATGATAAAAATTGCGTTTAACTCTAATTATGTAATGGGGTTCGGGAGCAGTGTTTGGCTGGGATCGAGATGTATTAAAAATTCACTTGATTTTTTTTCGGACTTTGTATTTAACCAGATCCGATGGAGTGTGTATCTCTATTTCGCGCAATTAGACGCGATCACCGGAGAAAGTCGTGAACGGAAACTCTTCATCCTTTCCCGTGCCTTTAAAGCCTCTCGCAAGTTTGGTCATCAGCATAGGTTTGGAAATCACCACATCTTCTTCATACTTCGTTCTAGAATTCTCTGAATTGTATCTGATGGAAAGATTTATGTGAAGCGCCAAATTCTTTCAATTTGAAAGTGACTAAACGTTTTCAGAGATTCCATGTAACGCTCCAAAACATACCCTTAGAATTATTAATAGATAATTATTTAATTTAATCAAATTTGTTTTGATTAAAATAAATTGTTGTTAGGCTTTGGGCAAAATATTATATGTTTGATATCCAATATTACAATTAGGATAAACCTCATAGAGATAAATCCAACATGATTGACTTATTGTGTAACCTTGATTGGGAACTTGTGTACAGACCCAAGTTAAGAATACATGAAGAAATTATTTATGATGTAAATTTTGAAATGATTTATTGAAATAAATCATAAGAATAAATAGTATGAATGGAATGTAAGAACCTTTTTGAGTAAAGGTCAATTAAACCAATTTTGACTCTTTCAAAGTCAAACACCTAAAAATATGATGTCGGAAAAAGTATTACAAACAATTATGAAAGATATATCGTTGAATAGAATTCGAATGTCTGATCGCGACGATGCAAACGGATTTCAATTCGGAGAAAGTTGGACCAAAAAGTGTACCCCGACTGGAACCAAAATCGGTCCTAATTAGGGAATGGCGTAGGAAATCTGAACATATCGCAGCCTATCCCACTACGCCGAATGAAGGATCGCTGACAGCAACCCAACCCTGTCATCTTCTCCTTCTCCTATAAAAGGCTACCACAACTCCTTCCATTCTTCACCATTTCTTACAAAATTTCATTTTATTCTATTCTTTGTTAAAAGAGGAGTGCAGTGGTGTTGTCATTTTGGTGAGAGGTCACCGGAGTTGGGAGTAATCATCGTCGGAAGTTTCACCGTTCAAACGCCAGAATCATCGTTTAGCTTTGAGGTAAGCCCGTAGATATATCTAATGATTAGAATGTTCATATAGATCGTTTCTACGTTCATAAATGGTCATTTGGTTGAGTTTTGTGTTTGACATGTTTGAATAACTAAGAATCATAAACCTTGAAATTGTTGTTAAAACTACGAACTAAAGTTACCAAAATGATCTATGAACCTTAGAGAACATTTCTATATAGTTTAATTGAAGGTTGGTGACTAAAAATGAAATTCCCAAAAATGGACCCGAGGAAGAAGACGATGAAAAGTACACGGTAACCCCCTATCGCCGGCATGGTAGCTCAGTACGTTCAAATGGTACCCACCTACCGACGAGACGGTAGGAAGGCTACAGTCGACCGAAGGCTCTCTGGCAGTACCTGATGATCGATGGTACCCCCACCGCTGGTACGGTATCGAGGTACCGTTAGCCGGTACCGAGGGGATGAATAGGACAGCTATGCTGAGGTAACAATTCTTGATGACATGTTACTTCCATCTTTTGAAGATCTAATAGCTACTATAGTACATTCGACTTATCCAGACTTCAAAAAATAGCCAATGAACTAAGCTACTTGCAGGAGTGCGTAATGTTGGCTCCTACATTAAATGTCATCAATTCCATAAATGAATATATGACATCGATGAACCGAAGCAGCAAATCTCGAACATACCTTAGTTCTGACAAGGTTGAGAACTCGAACTGCAACTCAAATTTTTTCGATGACTTACACTGTCTTGAATTTTTAAATAAGATTCGTGCTTCTTGTGTACAGAATAATGAGCTAACTTTGAAGGTAGGCACACCTATTATGTTGTTAAAAAATATTGATCATTCAATGAGTTTATGTAATGGTACACAGTTAATAGTAACCCAATTGGCTAATCACTCAATACAAGGAAACATATTATCAGGAAGCCTCATGGGTAAAGAAGTTGTTATTCCAAAACTATCATTAACACCATCCGATACAAAAATTTCATTCACGTTTCAAAGAAGACAATCCCTTATAGTTATTTCGTACGCAATGACGATTAACAAGTCATGGACAATCATGTTGGATTATTGTTACAAAAACCGGTGTTTAGCCATAGACAACTGTATGCTACAGTTTTAAGAGTAACTAATCGTAGTTGGTTGAAAAGTCTAATGCAACGAAGACAATGTTCCCAAAAATTGTACGAATAATGTAGTATATAAAGAAATGTTTCAAAATTTGTCAAACATCAATGTTTTGTACCTTAAAATAATATAATCTCTATTTTCTATTACATCTCTTTTTTTAGCATTGAAAAATAATCTTAATTTAAAAACGTAAAAATGGCCCGTGCAACATACAGGTGTGATACTTGTTTTCTAACCCACACCAAATTCGCATTTAAGATTTCGCCTAGTTTATCATATTTACCTTTGGATAGCTTTAATGTTAAATTTTATTCTAACTTAAGAAAAGGTTTTTATTTGATCAATTGTGACTCTTTGGAGCAAAAGAAAGTGTGAAACTGTGTGTATATGTGGTGCGGGGGTGCAGCAAATCAAGTGATTACATGTGTATTTCTCTATGAGGCTCTCTTCTAAGATGAGAGAGCAGCATATTATGTTATCCATAGTGATAAAACGTCTATTTAGAAAGGAAAAAAAAAAAGAAAGCGCCATATTAATCTACAATAAGGAGCATGTAAGTTTTTCCAGAGTGAGATTCTCTGCATCTCCATCCATACCAAACAGATTTTATTTGTTTCCAAGGAAATAGCCATATTCATTCCGGCTGTTCACTGTAGTGTGTCTTCATAGTAACTGTTGTCGTTGATGAGAGAGACGAAGCGCTCCAGCCAAGGGAGCTGGTGAAGATCCTTCATGGGGTCCGCGTAAGCCTGCGAGGGAGGAGGAGGGTGGGGTTGGTGGTGGTCCGCGGTGGTTGTGGTGGCGGCAGTCAAGCTGAAGCTTCCAGCAAGAAACCTCTGGATGAGTTCCAGTTGAGACCTCTCCTCGTCTGAATACGCGTCCATGATCATGGGAACAGGCTGGAAAGAGTCCCATCCCAAGTGCTGATCATCAAGTCGTTGCAGATGTGGGGGCAGCTCCCGCGGGTAATAGTTTTCGTCCCGGAACCTACACTTGCACGTCTGCTCACCATCACTGTACTCTGCACCGCATGAATAACAGAACTCGTACCCGCATCCCCTGCATACGCAAGAGAAATTGTAAAAAACATCATCCCAAAATTACACCATTTCAATTGAGGCACCTACGGTGCTCCATTCGTAAAATTGATTGTTCCTACCCAGTAACACCTCCCCCCCTAAACCTTTTTCCCATGTTTCCCCACACACCCCCCCCCCCTCGGAATCGCTGATT